CAGAGAAGCACCAGCTGAAAGCCTCCTTTTCCTAGGGCAGGGTTGAGAGGTAACTTAGGGGTCACCTAGCACCCTGGGAAAACCTGGTCCTCAAATGACATCAAGGGGAGCAACTAAGCCAAAAAACATTCTAAGGAGCCTGCTTAAAGAGATAAAAGAAGCTATCTTTGGTAGAGAAAGCCTGACATCCCAGTCATGTGTTTCCTCATGTTTTTCCTTGCCCAAAGAACTAGCTCAGTATGAGCCAGAGTCTGTCTGTCCAGAGCCCCGCACTAAGTCACGCTCTGACCCACATTCAAGCGCAGCGTCACACACCAGCAAACAGGATAAGGCACGGCACAGCACAAGAAAACCTCAGACATGCTTTTTCTCTTTTTAAGCACAAAAAGGAACTAAAGGGCAAGAAAAGCTTACCTTCTAGAGAAGAGAAAAATAATAAAACAAACAAGAGAACAAAAAAAAAAAAAAAGAAGAAGATGCATAAAGATGTCATAACAGGGAAATAAAAGTTGTCGAATATGCAAAAGTAAAGACTTAAAAATGATTTTACGATATAAATTTAGAAACCACTGAAGAACTGTGTATCAATGAGAAAATGCCTCTGTAAACAAATCCACAATTAAAGTCAATTAATTTATTATTCAAAGTTAAATCAGCTTTCTGAGCAACTAGAGAGGGGGCTGATGTCTCTTACAGACCCCAGATTTCTTACCATACAGCTCCCCTGAGCACCCTGTGAGGTCATACTGCACAATTCCCTCAAGCCTGCTTCCTGCCTGCCTGCGGGCCCCAGAAACTTAGCATCCCATGGAGAAGCTAGGTCCCGGGGACAGTGTGCTCCCTCCACCGCCTGCATCTTGGGCTACTACAAGGAGAGTGTCCCCAGAAACCTGGCAGCTCTCTTCATGGTCATTACACAGGGAGAAGTCGACCAGAGCAGTGGCAACACAAAGCCACTGCTGGGAGGCTACAGAGGGAACCCATGAACCCCTGAACCCCTCTGCTGTCTGAGAATTGATTCTAGACAAGACAAAGAGATCCCACAAACCGACCATGGTAAAGACTAAGATTTTAAGTAAACTGTCTTACAGAAAATGGAATGATCAAGGGACACAGCTAGAAATGCTAAGAATTTCCTACATATATTTTTTAGGATAAAGATACATTGGGGCTGGTGAGATGGCTCAGTGGTCTAAAGCACCTACTTAGAACAAGCTTAGCAAAGCACAGGGACCACGGTTCAATCCCCCAGCACCACATGCCAGCCAGCCCCGCCCCCTGGTGGGCTGAGCTGGCCACACACACACACACACACACACACACACTCTAAATAAATAAATAAATAAATAAGATACATTAAAGAAAACTTTGCCATCAAATTCAGAAATACAAGTGTATTCTGTATCTGTTCTATTCACCTGGCAACAACCCCCCACAGAAAGGGCAGGGATCCCACCCAGGGAAGGATACAGAGAATCCTCTACTAGTCCAACCAATGAGAATCCAGCCTGAAGCTAAGGGTTCATGCTTCAGCCTTTAACCAACATTCACCCCGTGTCCCTATTTCTTCGTACTACCTTGAGACAAAGGAAATTATCTGCGGGCTCTGATGCTCTACAAAAGCACAAGATAAAATGTGGGAGAGGTGATGAGCAAAGTCCCCCAGCAGGGAAGACTTGGAGCACTGCTCATGTCCTCTCCGATGGCACCTACCTTGCTGGCCCAGGCATCCTCATCCCAAGATGTGAGTTGTAAGACACGAATGATCTCATTAATTTCAGCACTCATCTTTTCCACAGTAAAATTGCGATTTTTCAAAGCTTCTTCTATTCCTTGGTTTTTAGAGTTTTTAGTTGTTACAAAAATCTTCATCGCTACAAAATAAAACAAAAAGTCAGCAGCTGAAGTTGGATTTTAACCTTCTACACACAATATTCAGACAAGATAGTCCACACTTTAAATATGTATTTTGGGGTTCTAAGGTCTTCAAAGAATATACAAACACACACTGCAAATCTGCCAATAGAGTGCCATTATCACCAACTTTCACTGTAAAGAGCACTCAGAGGGGCTGGTGAGATGGCTCAGTGGTCTAAAGCGCCTACTTAGAACAAGCTTAGCAAAGCACAGGGACCGCGGTTCAATCCCCCAGCACCACATGCCTGCCAGCCCCGCCCCCTGGTGGGCTGAGCTGGCCACACACACACACACACACACACACAAATAAATAAAAATTAAAAAAAAAAAAAAAAAGAGCACTCAGAGTACCAAATGTCACCGTGCCAAGATTAGAGAACTGGTGACCTGAAAGCATAGCCTAACATTTCTTCTGTCATCCTGGGACCTAACACTGGCTCCACCCACTGTAAACCTACTGTGACAGTCCAAAAGCCACCAACAGTATTCTGACACCAGCAGGAAACCCCACAGAAACAATTCTACCTCCAGGATTTCTTGCAACATGTAGCAAAGACTTTCTAACCCTCAAAAGTAAAGAAAACAATAAGAATTAAAATTCAAAAGGGACCACCCACTCGGGGGCCCCCCTCCTGTCCGTCTCTTAGACAGAAGCTTTCTTTCTCCCAATAAACATATTCTGCTCATAACCTCCATTTGTTCCTAACACTCATTCTTTTAGAGAACACGAACTCATCCCAGGTACCTTTCAGATCAGGAGCTTCATTTTTCCCCTATATCTTTTGGAGGTCATCCACCCGAGATCAGTTTCTTCCCCTATATCAGTACCACATGCCACGCCAGCCCCTGAAAATCTGGGCTCACTGGGCAAGCCACCAAAATTGAGCATGATGGCGCATGCTTGTAATCTCAGCACTGGAGAGACCGAGACAGGAGAATCATGAGAAGTCAGAGCTGCGTAGTAAGCCCCTGTACCAAATTTTTAAAAAGGGCTGGGGAGATGGATCAGTAGAGCAAGTACTTGTCTGGCAAGTGCAAGGGCCTAAATTCAATCTCTGGTTCCAACAAAAAAAAAGAAAAATAAATAAATAAATAAATAAATGATTAAAAAATAAAATAAAATTCAATAAACATTAATTAGTGCTCTGAGTTACCCAAATTGGAAACAAACTATTTTCTCAACAACCTCTACCACATAGGACAGAGGCCCCGCATAGCCCACATCCCCCAAAAATTATTTCCAGGGATGGGGCTCTAACTCAATGGTAGGCCCTTGCCTAGCATTACACAAGACCTTGGGTTCAGTCCCTGCACCTACGAACAATGCCCCCCCAAAAGTAAATAAAAGAACTTCTTCATATAAGGTTCTATTTACAAATATGTAGTATATGTAATTCCTTTCTTAGCTATTATTTGAAACATCAAAGTAAAAAACTGGGGTCACAATGACATGCCTCTTATGATTTTAAAAATAAAGCTGCCCTCTCAGAGTTAAACTAACCCACAACTTGCCAAAGACAATTATGTAAACTATACAGTGCTGGGCATACTAGACACTGAGGAAACACAAATCTCTTTTACTCACTGAGAGAGCTGTCATCGTGCTTGCCTTTCTGGGCCCTGGTCAAGGGGAAGATAAAATAGTGCCAACTAATGACCAAAGAACTGATATATTCATAATGAAGAAGACAACTAAACATGCTTTTAGGAGAAGCTGCGCTAACACACTGAAAAGGAAGCTTTATCATACAGTGCTCCGTAAAAGCCATTCCTGCTCCTAATGATTTTTCTGTAACACAGGGTGTGAAAATTCAAAGTTCACACCCTGTAAACTATACAGTGCTGGGCATACTAGACACTGAGGAAACACAAATCTCTTTTACTCACTGAGAGAGCTGTCATCGTGCTTGCCTTTCTGGGAAATCTGAGGAGATTTCCACCTCAGAAAAGGACCTGTCAAGAGCTTTACAGAGCACAGGGCTGCCCCAGCAAGGGCATTTTCAACGAAGAGCAGGTGAAGGAAAACACTGAGAAGATGATACTGATTCTTAGCCAGTCAGCTGCAGCCATAATGTAATACCCAGCCCGCTGGATGTGTGAAGCAGCTGAGGAAAATGGCCCTCCAAGCCCAGGACACAGTCACGTATTTTTCCCTATAAAATGAATTACAAACAGGAAATACCTGAGATAAGAACTGGAAGCAACTCCTTGACGGTGTTCATGGAGTTCACCAACATTACTCGGTGCTCCTGGTGAGTCAATTCCTGCTGTCGCTCGTCAATCATCTTGGCCATCTTCGTCATTCCTGGAGCACAGGGGTGAAATTGTGAGGGGTGAGTAAGGAAACAAGCCAGGGTCTGGCCTTCTTGGCCCAACTCCATTGTGAATTGCTCTGCAAGTCCAAACTGACTGCCCACTTAAAACAACAGGTGCTCCCACTGAATTATTGCATTTTTGCAATTTTATTTTTTTGAGTGAAACTAATTTATTAAATGAAAACCCTAAATATGGTATAATTTTCATATGGTTGATGTAAATACATTCATAAGCATTAAAATCTAAAAATCTGAAACGATTAAATGCATAATTGTACACAAATTAATTCACATATGAGGGAAATATTTTGCCAGATTACTGTGCATTTGTAACGGCCTCACCCCGTATGAGGCCGCTGTGTTGTACTATGTAAGAATCTCATCTGAGCCTAATAGCGAATCTAAGGGCTGGAAAAATGACAGTGATATGTTGTTGGTTTTTGTTTTTGTTTTGTTTGTTTTGGGTGTTTTTTTTTTTTGGCACAACCAGGGATTGAACTCAGGCTCTTGCGTTTTCCAGGGAAGCACTTATTCCACTGAGCCATCTCACCGGCCCCAGTATGTTCTTTATTCATCTTGATATTTTTCTGTACTTTCCAGTTTGTCTAACATAAGCATATTTTATAATTAGAAGCCAATAGAAATATCATAAAAGTTACAATGATAACAGTACTTGCAAGCATCTGATATTTTAAAATGGCCTATCACTTTGTTTACCTCAGTTGTTATTCAAAGGTGCTATATGATTTTGTGAAGGTCTGATTTTCAAATTGCTCCTAGGATTTTTTAAATTGTCTTAAAGACTGAAGAACCAAAGCAAGATTGCTAAAACATGTGAGGCCGCATCTACTTTTCCCTGAGGAGCTTCATTTTGTCTTTTATATGTTAGGATTCTACCTAAAAATTCCTTTTTGGGAAATAAATGTTTTCCACAGTGCTACGGTAGCAGGCAGTCTGAGTTAGATAGAAAATTGTAGGCAGTCAGACAGGGTCAGGCCCTCAAAGGAAATGACAACAGCGAGGCACCTTACAACTGTGGGAAGGATGGATGGAGGCCCCTCTGTAAATCAAACCCAAAGACTGGCATCCAGGATTGATCATTACTCAGGAAGAATTATGGTCTGAAGGCCTCCCGACAAGGTCCTGTTTTACATTCATGCCCACTTGCTACGTGACTTGATACCCCAATTGGTCCAGGGCCTAATCAATTTCACCTGAGCAATAGTGTTTGTAATCCCATTTGTTGACCACAGTTTAGTCCCACCCTGTATCCGCCTAAGTGAGACCCCTTTGTCTCTACCTCAGCCCCACATGGTTTTACACTATAAAGGTAATCTGGAAGAGGCAGCTTCCTGGGCAATCCGCTCAGGTCCCCCTTCTGTCCCTCTCCAATAGAACCTTTCCTTTCCAATAAAGTTTTACCCTCAACCTCTGTTTGTTCCTAAAAGTCATTCTTCGGTTTTAGAGAACACGAACTCATCCAGGCCAGGTTGGGAATTTCATGTCTCTATATCACTACAAGAAAGCTTAAAGAGCACAGCTCTGAAGTTATACAAGAAAGCCCTTTCCAGGTGCTCTTCAACAATGGCTCAGGAAAATCCTTATTACAGTGAGGCTACAGAACAACTACACCATAAGCTCATACTGTTAAATAAAAAGTCAACTTTTCATATAAAACAAGAATTTTTTGTCTTTTTTTAAAAAATGGTATCACTATGCAGTTCTGGCTAACCTTCAGCTCACTTTGTACCCAGGATGGTGTCAGACTCCCACCGATCCCCCTGCTTCAGCCTAACAAAAGATTTTTTTAAGGCAATAAGCATCAAGTCAAGTCAAGAGCCCAGGGTAGCTTCCATTTTTTTTTTTTTTTTTTTTTAATGTATTTAGTGCAGGATCCACGGGGTCTAAAGGGTCTCACACATAGACCGAGTCGTAATGATCCTCCTGTTTTCACCCTCCTAAGCACTGGGATTATAGGCACATGCCACCACACCCAGTCTCATGCACCACCAGGCCCAGTCTCAATCACAGTCTCAGAGTGCCCCAGGGGCAGGAACGGCACTCTACACCTCGGATGGAACCCTGGCCACTGCACTCCACCTAAGCAGGAGGTTTAGTCTCCTGAGCTGCCTGGCAGGGTATCTTCCATTGAAGATACCCTGCCAGGCATATCATTCATATGTTAAGGACTCTCCAGGCCATGTTAGACGTCTCTAACATCAAAAGCTGGTATATGTGTATTTTGAATATTTAATCCTCAGGTGCTCAAAAAAGCATTTCAAAATGGGGCTTCAGCACAACAGCTTCTCCTCGTTCCTTCTAGGTTAGTCGCTGATTACACAACAATGGAGCCTCAAGCTAAGGCATGAACCCCTAATGGTAGGCAGGCTAATCAGCAAGCTAAGAGGTCCTAAGAGCTACAGGCCAGCTGGCAGGCAGCGCAGGAATGCTGCATGATGCGGAATGGGGAGAGAGGTCAAGATTCTGGGTAGCCGTCAGCATTTCAGTAACTGAAATGCAGAAAAGCACTCGCTACTGCCCAGCCACATTTGTAATGTCGGCTTTCATTTGTTTGCCAGTACAGGATTTGTAGAAAGCAGACTGCAGCTTCAGAGACAATGCAACCTCCTCCACAGAAGCCTGGTGTCACTTTTGTGAACACAGCAGACACCTGAAAGACCAACCCATCAACACCTATTTCAGCAAAAAGTCAGAGAAGGGCACTTTCTCCTCTTGATCCATCCAGAACAACCCATGAACACTTTAATATGACTCACCTGGCCCAAGATTCTTTGTGTAAGTGACCAAATCTTCCATGGTCTCCACTACCTCTGCCACTGTAAGATACTCCAGAATTCCTTTGCAAACTCTAATAATTTTACGAACCTGAAAATATATTTCAGAGTATGGAGTCAAGTGAGGGAGAGAAAAAAAATACATTTGTATGTATCTTTTTCAATACATAGAAAGCATGAAAATGCATATTTCAATCATTAATATGCCATGATTATCTTTAAAACTCGGCTTTCTATCTGGAGGAGGTCTGCGCGGGCCTCAGGTTGCCTACCTCCGCCTCGTCGAAGGTCAGGAGCAGGTCTGATGTGCCGGAGAGGATGCCCCTGGAGCCATCGATCAGATAATCTCGAGCAGGCACTGAGTATGGGTCCGTCTGAAGCATCTGGGCTGCCTGGACCAGCTTGGTGCAAGCGTTTTCAACCCTGCGGGAAGAGGGCAGGGTCACTTCCTGGCACGGCCCAGGGGCTGCCTGCCCAGCACCAAAGGAAATGGTGCCCGTGTGTGTAAGCTCACTTTTTTTTTTAGCACCTGGAAGGTAGTGTTTTCCAGTTTAACATCTGGAAATAGAATGCCGAGGCACTGTATCAGTGAAATTTAATAGCCAGACAAATCAAGTGAATAGGAAGAAACACAAAAAAAAGGATAAAGTGATACACAAATTTCTCGTTCACCTGCCTATCAAGCCTTTGTAGACAAATCCATTGGACCACTTGGAAACAACACTCTAAAGCCCATACTGTTAAAGGATTGCTCGCATTAATAACTATATCTGCTATTGATAGTTTCATATTAATATAGTTTAAAACAGACCATCAGAAAGCCAAGGGTTTGAAGGTTGCAGATGGGAAAAATTTACTTAACAGAGGAACCCAAAATACCAAGCGTTCTCCTCAACCCTCCTACTCTACTAAAATGTATTCATTCACTGTACTCACTGTATCCATCTATACAAAACAAAGAAACCTAAGCCATCTCCTTGAATCTCATATTCAATATATACATTGTTATCACTAAAGACCTTCTTATTTCTGTTTTACTGAGACAGAGTCTCGATGTGCAGTTCAGGCAGCTTTGAGCTCACTATGCAACGCGCTTGGGTAATCCTGCTGCCTCCTCCTGAGTGCTGGGATTACAGGTGTGTGCCACCACGCGCAGCTAGTACAGCTAAGAAGAATTAAATGAACAGTAATTTCACCTACAGACACTCCTTGTTGAATGCCTGAGTTGCAGTCCTGTGACCAGAATGTTAAAGTGAATTGTATATTACAATATTCAGAACAAAGAAATAGTGAAAGGAAACTCCAACTTGGTGATTTTGCTTTTATTTGCCTAACTCCTACATGCAGCGCTGTAATGTACAATATAAAACTACAGTACCATACTATCCAATACAACTGGCAAAGCTCACACTACGGTATAAACAAGGTACACTAAACAAAAAA